CCAATGTTTAAAGAAATTATTATACACTCCTGACTGTGGCAATAGCTGTGGCCTAGCAGCTGGTGATAGGAATAGGGTTGTGACAAGAAACACAGCAACCTCAGAGGGGGCTCATTGATTTCCAGTCCTTAATCTAAAACAGGACAGGATATACTTAAGCTGCCCCAAAGAGAAAGGAGTCCTGAAAGCGAGTCCCCATTGGAGTGAGGACAAAGTGAATTAAAATCTAATAGTCAAGCTGGCCTGGACCCTCCCTATCCAGAGCCTTCTATTGATTCCTGATTAGCTGCCTTTAGTGAGGTTCCTTTCAAGAAACCTATTTCCCCAATTCCTGCCTCTTGAGTTGTCCTATTTCTTTTTCTCCTTTGCACCATCAAGTATTTGAGCCATCTACACTCCTGTCTCCACTGCCTCATCCCCCAGTCCCTCCTTTTCTTGGTGCAATTTGGCTTCTCCCCATCATGCCACAAGGAACCTATAGCATTTAAATTGTTTTCTCTAGTATTCCCTTGAAGTGCTCTCTAAAATGATTGGGAAGAAAAGGTAAAAGAACTATTAGAAATTATTTTTCAATTTGTTTTTTATCTTAAGTTTTTGTGGTTTCTGATACACTGGTATATATTTAGATTATGCTTATATATGGTATATAAATAAGCATGACTAGTATCCATATAGGTACTTTACAAACATGTAATAAGGTATATGCTAAAGACTTATTACTGAAGGGGTACACTTTAAAAAAAGTTTGTAGACCACTCGTTTTTAGAATAAAGGTCAAGTCCTTTATTATGGCATTCAAAGCTCTTTATAATTTAGCCTCAAATGATTTAGTGGCTTCCTTCACCCTTATGACAACCTCACCCTTCCCTCCCTTTATCACAAACCATGCTCTATGAATTACTATACAGCTTCCAATTGTACCAAAATGTCAAGTTTTAGTTCAAAGTATTTTGCATGTAGATGTTCAAATGTTAAACCCAGCATGTTTTAGGGACTCCTCACAAACTATCTGGCTTGGTGTGTGAGGGGCCAGTCTAATAATTCATTCCTTCCTTACCCTACACAAACATGATTTGTGTGTATTATTCCCAGGAGACAATGAAACCATTTCGGGGCCTTCAGTAGGTCCTTCCTTGTCCTGGCCCCTCAGTCCAACTGTATTATCTCAACCTTATCATTTAGGACACATTGCTTTGTTCCCTACCTTTTATTATCTATCTTCCGTACCCAGAGGTATTGTGGGTAGAAATGGGCTTTTGACTTCTTGCAGCCTAAAGTATATTGAAGTTTACTGTGTTGTTACAAGCTGTTCTGCTTCATATATGTGCTCTCATTTTCTTTTTTTTTTTCACAAGCCCAGGAGATGAGTACTTTTACCACCATCATTTTAAGCTGACACAGAGTGATTTGCCCAATTGAACTCAGGTTGAACTCCAGAATTTGGGCTTTCAGTGACTGCATGCCTAACTCCAGAGCAGAGAAGACCCGACTTTTACCTCCAAGGACTCAGAATCAGGTCTGTACCTCAGAAAAAAAGGAGCAGATGCCCTGGAGAGAGTTAAGTCTCAACATACATTTATTGTGGATAAAATTCTTCTTCCGTTGGAATTTGTGATCTCCTCCAGTGCCTGGGGTGTGAACTACACTTTGTCACCTAATTGTCTATTGTCTCGTACTGTTGTCTATCTTTGCCTAATAATTTTTCTTCTGTCATCAGGTCCAGCCTTGTTCTTACTGGCTGATGTGCACTTGAGGCTATTAGGCCTTCATATCAGGACCATCCCAATCCACTAGTGAAGAGAATCAGTGGCACTCAAATCTAAGAACCTTTGGTAGTGTTAAAGATGCAGCCTTCTAAATAAATTTGGGGTGGGACTCACAAATCCGCATTTTTAACTCCAAGGTCATTCCTAGGCCGTAATAGCCAATGCTGTCTACTACATTCCTGCCTGTGAGGACTACCCTTTAGGTAGGATTATCTCCTGGTATAATAATTTCTCTAAATACTGCACACAGCTGAAGAATTAGAAGCTGGGCCTCTTTTGTTTCTGGATATGCCACTTGGCAGGTGTAATAACATCCTCTGACAGGCTGCTTGCCACAGGTGCATTCTTGACACGTGTGCCCCGCTGGTACCATCCCCCATTCAGTTGGTCCCCCATTCAGGGGTCTTGGCAGTTTAACCACCAAGACCCCTTTAGCCTTACCAACCACCCTGTAGCAGTTGTCCTCTTCCAAGCCCTCAAGCCCACCCACCTACCCTCGCCCCTCCCCCTACTCCCCCAACCGTCTCTCCCGCCCCAGCCCAATCCTTCCCCCTTCTTCTGTGTCCCCTGGGGCTCCTCCCACCTCAGAACATTTTTTTGTTCCAGGCTGAGTTTTCCAAGTGAGATTGGGGGTGGGGATAAAGCTGGTTAGAAGGGAGTACACAGGGCCATTCAGAGGTCCTAATGAGTAGGGATACTTTTTATGTCTGAGAAAACACATTTTCTACCAGAGAAATGGGCAGAGGCCTATCTCTGGAACTTGGGCGGAGGGATGTTACTCTCCCGGAGAGAACCTGTCTCTGCAAACATCCCAAAGGAGGCCCAACCTGCAGTGTTCCTTTGTTGGGATAGAGAGGAAATGGAATCTTACCAATGAGGTGAAAAGGGCTTCAGGGAATACCAAGGATGGGGCCAGCCTTCTCCCTGTAAATGACTAACACTAAAAGGGAAGGGGGGGAAAAAAAAAGCACCAACAAAGTAGTTCCCAGCTTTTTCAAATATGAAGCATTTTTTAACCAATCCATTTTTTAATTTTTAAATTCTTGACATTACAGAACTAAACTGAAATTTATTAACATTCCACTCTTACATTTCTTATCGACAAACAGAAATAAAATTCATGAGCCAAATACCCAAACCAAAACTAAAAACAGGGAAAAGCTTATAAAACTAAATATGGATCCCAGCATTAACAGCTGAACAGAGAATGTGATTTTTAAATTCTTAGCAGATGATAAAGTTGTGTAGAAACTGAACACTTACAAATTATTTAAAACCTGGAATCACTGACCAGAAATTACACATTTGGATCATGGGAAAACAGCAGAAAGGGTTATGAGTGGACCTATACTGTTCTAGCTGCACCCCATGCCCTTCTCAGAGGAAAGCCTGGCATTGATTAGATATTGGGCCAGACTAATACTGGCAGCAGAACCAGTGATAGTAACCTGCCTACCAGAGGAGCCTTCCACTGGATTGGCAATTTTGATCTGGGCCCCGGACATCTGGCGGATCTCATTAATATTGGCGCCTTGGCGCCCGATTATGCAGCCAATTAAGTTATTTGGAATGGTGAGTTCATGGGTGGTTTGAGTAGAAGCATCCAAACTTGCCCAATAGCCTTTCACCTCTGGAGAGCTGGAGTCAATTCCGGCGAATCCGGTCCCGCCGTGCATCATGGCAAAGTGACTCTGTTGTCTCGCCACCTGGTTCAGCTTGGCCAGATCGAGCGGAGAAATGGTGTGTTGTCCTTGAATCGAGTAGGCATCTAGAGGTGGTCCCTCCAGGTCATGGGTGGCATGAGGGTAGCCCGCAGCGTCGCTGCACCGATCTTGGCCGCCCGCGCAGATGACCGGAGAGCTGGCTGGCATAGGCTGGTACGGAATGGTCATGACTCTTCCTTGCGGAGACTGGGAGAGCGTCTCCAGCATGACCAGGCAGATCTGCTTGACACACTCGGTGACAGACTGCGGCACGCCAGCAATGGTGATAGCTCGCTCGGTCGAGTTGGGCAGCATATCGCCCGCCACCTGGACCTGGGCCCCGGTACTCTCGCGGATCTCTTTGATCTTACACCCGCCTTTCCCAATAAGGGAGCCGCACTGGGTGGCCGGCACCACCAGCCTCAGGGTGACCGGGGGCCTGCTGGCCGCCGTGCTGTTGGTCATGGAGCTGTTGATATCTTCTTCCAGCTTGTCGATGATCATAGCGAAGGCCTTAAAGATGGCATTGGTGGGGCCAGTCAGAGTGATGATTCGCTCCGGACAATTCCCCTCCGAGATGTTGATCCGCGCCCCACTCTCCTCGCGGATCCTCTTAACCGACTCCCCTTTCTTCCCAATAATGCTTCCTACTTCCTTTCCGTGCATAAGCAGCCGAATGGTGAGAGTCACATTTAGTCCACTTTCAGTCACACCGGCATCCATGGCGAGCGGCGGGCGGCGTTCGGGGGAGTTGGGCTCGTTACGTGGTCAAGTCTTTGGTGGCTGGCGGGGGGAGGGGAGGTGTAGGCCCAAAACTGCCGGCGCGAGGCGAGCGAGGGCCGCGGAAGCGAGCGGGCACGGGCCGGAGGCCGCGGCGTCGTCGCAGGGGCGGGCGGCGGCGGTGGAGGGGGCGAGCGGGGCCGAGCAGGGCCGGGAGCAGCGGGCGGGCGGGTGGGCGAGGGCGCGGCGGTGGCGACTCCAGCGGCAGCCTCGGCGGTCTGGGCGGGGCGGGAAGCCCGCTTTCAACCCCGCGTACCCTCTGACCCCGGAAGTGCTTGCTGCGCAGGACCCCTTGAAAAAAATGAGGACCCGTGTTTTTTTAGGTCACAAGATTACGCCAAACTCCACAGGGTAGTTTTACAAAAACCTTTTAACAACCTGGCATTGAATATAAAGCTCCGAGGGGCAGATGCTGTGTGTCCGGCAAAGTTTTAAAACGAATATGTACTTCATTAACTCTACTGGTGCTGGCATTTGTTTGGCAATGTTAGTGATGTAAATGGGGGCGACACGTTATTTTACTACCCTGCGAAATGTGCTTAGATGCGGAGGAATACGGCCAGACCGGGCGATAACTGCAGGCAGCAGCTGGGACGCCGCGGATTTAAAACGTGCGCGTGAGGCGAAAAGGGCGCGTGCGCGAGGGCGTGGGGGAATGGGAGGGGCAGCCGCAGTCTTCCGGGGGGGAAGGGAGGCGAGGCGAGGCTGTGGGGCGGGCGGGCGGGCACGTGGGGCTCTTTAGTCTCCGGCGTCTGGGCACTGGGTGCCAGCTGCCACTCGGGCCTGGGGCTGGCGGCTGGAGAGGAGAAAGATTGATCCACTCCACTCCGCCACTGGAGTCGCGGCTTTCCTCGCGGTTTTTACGTAGTGGTAGAAACGTGGCCCTGAAAAGAATGGCGTCCATTTACATAATGCTTTGTTTGCATTTTGCAAGTTTATTTCGGAAAACCCGCAGAAACCCCACCTCCTACCCTAGTGGTGGTTTAGTCATGGCAGCCTCCAGGCATTTAAAACAATAGTGTTCCTCTTGTAGGCCGCATTCACTCAGGGGTTACCGACTAGTGCTTTGGGGAGCTCCTGTGGCACTCCCCGCACGGCTTGCGCTTCGTAAGGCTTTGCGGTCCTGGCCACCCTTGGTGCAGCCGCCGTGTTCCGCACTTTCCGGGGGTGGCCCCTGACGGGGCCGCCATTTTGGAAAGCCTTTTCTGCTGTTGGCGCAACTGTACCTTTTCCTTGCTAAAGGAGAAAGATTGCTCTGGTTGCTGGTGTACTACTTGTTATTTACCCCTTTTCCCCTACCCTTCAGTTAAGCCAGACAGAAAAGGCCTTGTGCGCAACGTGTTTGAGACTCCCTCAGGGAAAACGACCAACATGGCGGTCCCTTTGCCCCCCGCCTTTCTTCACGGGGGTAGCCGCCATGTTTCCTTAACACAAAATGGCGGCACGTGGCCCGTGTCGCCGCCAACGAGAAATTGGGGTGGGCAAGAATGCTCTAGAATGCGTTCTCGTCATTCTGCCATCCCCCGTGCCTGTCGGCCGGGGACCTTCCCCGCGCAGCGAGTCTTCTGAGCACTCCGATAACAATTCCCACAGCGTGGTCCAAAACCTGGGAGAAGGGAGGGAGCGATTTTTAATTCCGTTCTTACTAATTTGAACCGCGAATATGAACTGTAAAATGTAGGCATGATGATGCCGTGTCTCTTGCTCACTTTAAATTTAATGCATAGCGAGGGCCGGTACCAATAGGTAACTTGGACCCTCAATAACAGACATTTAGCAATCACTGCCTTAAGGAGTAAGAGGGGAAATTACTGCTTCCCTAGTCTTCTAGGACTAGAAAAGTTCAAGAAATGACGTATATATTTTTAAAAAGTTTCCATGGAGATACTAGGATGCCGATGATTTTTTTCATGGGCAAGCTGGACAGTGAACCTCAGTTTCCCCACAAGCGGTGTTCACTTTTAGTCTAGAAGAGACAGACATTTATTGTTCATTTACCGGTACCAGATCCTGTACTAGACATTTTACTGCGTACTACCTAATTTATAATGATCCTCTGAGGTAGGTGGTGTTATCTTTCTTTCTCTCTTTTTTTTTTTAACAGACGAGTTCTCTTAGGCCCAGGGAGATGAAGTGATTAATTCAAAGTCACACTGTCAAGAATGGAATCCAGACCTCCTTATTTCCTTATTGGTGAGCAAATATCCACATTTTTCTGTAAATTAGGATTCTATAATTTAACTACTATTTGAATATTTAGGTGAGCTTGTCATTTAAAGGAATCCCTCAGGTAATCTTTTGGTGGGTATTTACCCCCTATTTGTACATGTTTGGGGATTTCCAGAATTTCCTGGTGTGAGTTATACCTGTAATGGGCTCAAATGTTATTTTCTTATTAGGTGTCTAGGTGAGGATAGGGAGGGGGAAGTGATTCAACCCTGCTTAACTGCTCTAGTATCTGTCAGTCCTGCCTCAGCTGTGGCACAATTTGAGTCTACCTGGCTCTGGAGCAAGCAATTTCTGTATATGACTCACTTGCTTCCTTTAGCTACCAAGAGGCATGACTTTGCCTTCCCCACCCCAACCAGGTAAAAATAAGTAATTTCACACTGGCGCCAAGCCTCTATTTCTCTGCAAATATTGACAGAGCATGACAGAGTGTTAGATAAATCATAGTCTGTGGACATTTTAGTTCAGTGTAACAAATAACTTGTGGGCCAAGCAACAGATATGTGCCTAAACAGGGTTCTGCTTATGTGAGTGTTAGATATGGAGAAAAAGGTTTTTGTTTCCTCTGACTTACATTGATACCACATATCAGACTTTTCCGAAGTGCTTTCACATTACTTACATAATTCTGTAAACAACTGTCATAGATAGGTACACAACAGCAGCAATGACAATGACAAAACTAGTGCTTACCATGTGGCAGACACTTTGCAGCTTTGTGTTATGTCAGTGGCTCTCACATTTTTAGAAGCAAACCACTGTAAGAAATAACATACAGTAGCAGATATATGTGCGTATCTGCTATGTATATATATATCTGCTGTGTATATATCTGCTGTGCATATCTGCTATGTATATATACCATGTATATAACAAACAAAATTTTGCAAAATGGTACTTACCATTACTACATGCAGTGCACTCTGGTAATTTTTATTCTCTCCTTTACATTAAAAAGGTAACGTCAAGGCCCTGGCTGGGTAGCTAAATGGGTTAGAGGGTTGGCCCAACACTTCAAGGTTGTATGTTTGATCCCTAGTCAGGGCACATACAAGAATCAACCAATGAATGCATAAATAAGTGGAACAACAAATAGATGTTTCTCTCTCTCTCTCCCTCTCCAAATCAGTAAATAAAAAAAGTTTTAAAAAGGGCACATGAAAACTAAAGTACTGAAAAACCCATTATTAGATTGTGACTGATATGATTAATGTACACATTTAATTCTCATAAAAACTCCTGAGATGGGGTAATGTTATTTCCATTTTAGAGAGGTACAAGAGGTAAAGGATTTTGTCCAAGGTCACATAGCCAGTGAGTGGTAAGCAAGGATTTGAATTTACACTATCTGGGTCTAGTGCCTATATATCTAACCCCTAAAGTGGATATGTTCTCTGCAGAGGGCCTTATTTTGTAGGGAGACAGAATTGATTAGGGTATTAAAAATATTAGCAAATGTTGCCCTGGCTGGTGTGGCTCGGTGGATTAAGCACTGACTGGCCTGTGAACCAGAGGGTTGCTGGTTTGGTTTCTGGTCAGGGCACATGCCTGGGTTGCTGGCCAGGTCCCTAGTGTGGGGGCATGCGAGGAGCAACCACACATAGATGTTTCTCTCCTCTCTCTCCTTCCCCTTTGTCTAAAAATAAGGAAATAAAAAATCTTTAAAAAAGTTAGCAAATGTTAAAAACTTAGGAGACTAAATTACATATAATCAAAAATTATCCTAGCCCTGGCCTGGTAGCTCAGTTGACTCTATAGTGTCATCTGATACACCAAGGTTACAGGTTTGATCCCCCATCAGGGCACATACAAGAATCAACCAATGAATGTATAAATAAGTGGAACAATAAATTATTGTTTCTCTCTCTTTGCCCCATCTCTAAAATCAATTTTTCAAAAATTAAAAAAAAGAATAATCCTGATTGAAAGCATTCTGGTCCTTATAATAAATCTGCCATCTATTTATTATCTCTAAAGAAAATTTTATCCATTAGGTCTTTCTTCACAAGACTGCCTATTTTAAGCCTTTTCTGCCAGAAATATTCCCTTAATTTCTTATCTGAGTACTCCTAGGACTCTACCCACCTCCTCATTGAAGCCTTACCTTTCCTAGCTCTCAATCTTCCTATTCCTCCAGAGTCCTACATCTCCTCCCTAGAGAAGCTCACATTTAGCTGTTGATTAAATTGTAATGTGTCTTGGTGTTGATAGTATGTTGTACAGGCCACAGGTAACTTGGGTGAACCTGAGATCTGGCAAAAAGTACAGTTGGACTTCGGAATTTGTGACTCTGGCCCCTCACTCCAACTCTATACCGCTGATTAGCTTTGAGACTTCCATATCCCAGTTCCTTTATCTCGGCCTCAGTTTCACCATCTGTTAAAAAAAAAAAAGAGAGAGATTAAATGATCTCTAAGACCCCTCTTAATTCTATCCAGTGAGTAATGATATTTGATGATCTCAGTTACTTATCCCTGGAGGGGAGGGTTATGAAAATAATGTATCTTATTTACTTATTGTAAATTCTCCACTTCTTTCTCAGATCTGCACTGTCTTGTGGATAGGTGAGTGAATTCCACACCACCCATTTTATAGATGAAGACAGTGAGATAATGGAGCAACTGACTATAAATAGTCACCGCCCTATCCTTGGAGTCTCACATATGACTCTTCTCCTCCCAACTTGAGTGCCTTCAGGTTGGTTAAGGTGAGTCAGGCTTAGACTTTGGAAATTGAACCACAGGCTTTATGCTCCATTCCGAGGAAGGATTTTTGCTTCCTCTTACCTCACACTGGCTTGTTACAAGAACCTTTCAAAGTGAGTTCACATTATTTATTTAATCATCAAAGACAATATTGCCAGGAAGGTATTCTGCTTGTTTTATGAAAGAGCCATGTTTGGATCAGAGTAGTGAAATGATTTGCTCAAGTTTACACAGCTTATTAGGATCTGAGCTGATCCTCTTGAGTCCTAGTTGTGGATTGTCCTTTCCTGAGCTTCTGGTGCTTGTGACACTGACTTTGACACATGGAATGGTCTTATCTGAAACTCAGAAGCTTTCCATCCAGTCTTTATTGTTCTGTTCCAGAACATTAATCCACATATGTTAGGGTTCTAACTCTTTTGGTTTAAGAGCATCTCTTTTTTTTTATTTTCTTTCACATTTATGGGTTTGGTAAGTGGTGGGCATGATTCCTCAGTAAAACTCTTGGGTTCCCAGTGGGCAGGGATCACATTTTTTTTCCTAAATTACCTGGCCCAGCAAATACACTATAGCTTTTTAAATTTGCCCTACTAACGTAGCAGCATTTTTTTTTCCAAAAACATGGTTTCGTTTCCTCTTCTCCCTTCATATTAGCTTTACATTTCTCTTTTATTTAAAATTATACTAAATTAGGAGCACTCTTCTCGTATTACTTTTGGAGTGCAGCCTAAAAACGTGGATAGTAACAATTTGACTTTAATTGCTGGTGACCCTGCATTGCTGTTATGGGGTCACTACTTGTATCATTAGAAACAGAAGAAATATGTTGGTGTGCCTTACGGAAGTGATGAGGAGATACAGCAACATCCTTGGCCTAAGTTCTCCCAGTTGGGCAAAGCAGTGCCATGGATTCCCCAGGGTCACTCTGAAATGAGGCATGGAGAAGGGGTTGTGGAGAAAAGTTAAAGAGAAAATGAGAACATTCAGAGTGAAAGTGCAAAGTATTGAAAGTGAGGAAGAAAAAAAGGTAAGAAAAAGAAAGAGAAAATAATAGGGCAGAAAAGAGGAGAATACAGGATTAGTGGAAGGGAGGTGAAGAGAATAACTCAGAGGTCCATTATCCCATCCTGTGGTGTGGGGTGCACAGGCTGCTGTCTTGCACCAGGAAGAGCAGTTGGTATGGTAACTCCTCCTTGAGCTGATTTTGAGCAGAACATTTTTTTTTCTAAACCTCTATTTTCAGTATTAGAAAGGAGAATTTTTTTTTATTTTTGCTATCAGCTGGGGATGTGATTAGATGCCAGTAATTTTAATATCAATACCAGTTCAATTGGTTTGTTAAGGAAAATGTGCTACAAAAATCACATAAGGTATTCTAAGTTAAATTTCATCTCATTCATTCATTCATTAAACACTTATTGATTGCTTGCTATATTCCAGACACTAAGGATATTCAAATGAATAAGATCCTGTCCTTGCCTTCAAGATGTGTATGGTCTGCAGAGGGAGACAGACTCATAAGTAGATTTACAATACACTGCATTAAAGTACAATATTAAGATATGAGTAAGCAAGGGGTGCTGTGGGCTCAGAGGAGGAACCTTGGTTCAGTCTTGGAGGGGATTCAGTGAGTCTAGGCTGCCTAGAGCAGTTGACATTCAGGCTAAATCCCAAGTTGGCAAATTGCAAGGTGGAGGGCAGGGAAGGGTATTACAGGCAGAGGGAACACAGTTCATTCAGAAGTTACATTCATTTAAGGGAGGTATGAACGATGTTTGCATGATCTAGTTTTTGGTGATTATTTTTCTACTGCTTCAGAAATGTAAACTATCGAGACTTGACTTTTTTGCTAGAGCACAAAGTTAAAGTTCTTATTTTGTCGCAGTGATTCTCTTTTAAGATAAAGACACCAGAAATTGCACTTTCTGTCTTGGAGAGTGTAAGGACAAAAATGTAAATCACAGCTTTTGAATCAGCAAATGATCATTAACCTTTTGTGCAGTAAAAGAAAAAAAGTGTATGCATAGCATACCCCTCTCTCATTCAGCTTTTGGATTTGATTGTGTTCTGCTTTGTTTTTAAAGGGGTGTGTGTGTGTGGAAATTTAGGGTCTTTTGCTAGGCTGTTTGAGTTAGGGAGGAGGAAAAACAGTTGAAGAGTAATTGCTACTTTATGGCAGAACAAAACAAATACATTTAAATAGCTCATTTCTCTTGATTCCACTTCCTGAGCACAAGCAAGATAGTTGGGGATGTTGTTTCAGAAAGACAATTGAACCAAAGTGTTAACTAAACATTATTCACTGTGTAAAATCTGTTGTGTCTAGATTTAAGAGCATTGATTTTTGTTTTTCGTTTTTCAGAGACATAGGTATAGCTTCATTAAACAACACTGGGATTTTACCTGGATTAAAAGATAAAAAGCGGTATGTGTGGAGTAGGGAAGAAAGTGCTTAGAAAATAGCACATAGATTCAGTAGTCATTTCTCAGTTGTCTTCTTTCTTGACCTGTGAGTAGCATTTGACACTCCTTTGCACTTAGTTTCACTTGGCTTCCAGGATACCACTTCCTTGGTTCTACTCCTACCTCATTGGTCCCTCCTTCTCAACCCCTCTCCCCTTTTTTGGCTGATTCTACTTCTTTCCTCATCCTCCAATGATGGGGTACTCAGATCAGTCCTGGGAGCCTTTCTTTGTCTACACTTATTTCCTAGGTACTCTATTTCAAGACTTTAAATATCACATACACCCTGACAGTTCTCAAGTCTATATTACTAGTGTGAGTGTCTTCCCTGAACTCAAGACTCTTACATACCACTGTTTACTGGATACCTCCTCTTGGGTATCTAATAGCTTCTTGAAGTTAACATATTCAAAATATTAACTCTGGAACTTCTCTCAAACCGCATGTCTCTGGCAGTTCCACCCATCTCTGTTTCTATTGTATTGAGTATATGGAAGACTCTCTCCTGTCTCTTTCTTTCTCATCTAATATACCAGCAGGTCCTGTCAACTGTATCTTAAAATAATATATCCAGGAACTGAACACATCTCACCACTTTCTCTATTACTATTGGAATATTTTCTAAATGGTTTTCCTCCTTTGCTGTTGGTCCCCTCAGATTGAAAACTAAAGTCCTTATAGTGGTCTGCAAGGCCACATAGCATCTTTAGCACTACCCCCTCCCATGTGCTCTGTCTTTATCTTCTACTACTTTGCCCTTGTGCACTAGCCACACTGGTCTTATAGTTGCTCCAATATGTCAGACACCTTTGGAACTTTGTAGTTTTCTCTGCCTGGAGCACTTGTTCCAGATGTTAGGCTGTCCTCCTTCCTTGCCTCCTTCAGGATTCTGCTTAACTGTCACCTAATCTGTGAGGCATTCCTTGACCATCCTATTTAAAAGTAAAAGCCCTCTTCTGCTCTCTGTTTTCCCTGTCCCCCTTCTGTGCTTTATTTTTCTCTGCAGAATTTATTGCTATCTGACATACTATTTATTCTGAAATTTATAGAATGCTGCCTACTATGTGCAAGGCACTGTTCTAGAGACTTTCTCTACTGTAGCTTATTTATTCTCATCTACAACTAAAATATAAATTCTGTGATGCCTATGATTTTGTTTTGCTCATTGCTATCTCTCTCCTAGAAAACAATGCCTAGCCCTAGGAGTTGAATGAATATTCAAATTTTAAACAAAAACGTATTGAATATATAGAGGGTTGTGCACCAGATAATGAGGGAAAATATCTGTATGAATAAGACATTGTTCCTACCCTCAAGTTTCCTAGGCTAAAAAATTATTTTGACCTAAACAGTGCTGTGATCTTTAGCAGGATAAAGTAATACATCATGTTGGAATTGGGGATGTAAGGACCTTTCGCTTTGTGGGATGACACCCAGCCAACTGAACCATACACCATTTGGAGCCAATTTTACTTCTTGTGAGGATTAAATGACTAAATAATAGTTTTGAAATAGGAGAATGAAAAGGGAAGGAGTTAGAGGACCAATAATTTCTTTTTTTTTTAAGCAAATACTATGTGTATCTGCTTTATTTTCTTTTTTCTTTTTTTTTTAAATCTTTTTTTTTTTTTTAAGATTTCATCCATTTTATTTTTTAGAGAGGGAAGGGAGGGAGAGAGAGAGAGAAACATCAATGTGCGGTTGCTGGGGGTCATGGCCTGCAACCCAGGCATGTGCCCTGACTGGGAATCGAACCTGCAACACTTTGATTTGCAGCCCGTGCTCAATCCACTGAGCTACACCAGCCAGGCCAATTTTTTCAAAAAATAATTTTATATATATATTTAAAGATCTTATTGAATTATTTTTTTAGAGAAGAGTGGGAGAGAAACATCAGTGTGAGAGATATATCAATCAGTTGCCTCTTATACATCCCCAACTGGGGACCTGGCCTGCAACCCAGGCATGTGCCCTGACTGGAAATTGAATCGGCGACCTTTTGGTTCGCAGGCTGGCACTCAATCCACTGAGTCACACCAGCCAGGGTGAAAAGTTAATTTTAATAAGCATGTTTCTTTTCTAATGAGAGCAATGAAGCTTTGAAAACAAAGACTAATGTATTGCTTTCCATAGAGTAGCAAGTCTATAGAAAATATTTCCTTGTCTCTCCACCCAGATACTTATCCCTGTATTGCATGAGGGAAATGAAATGCTAGAACCCCACCCCAGGCTGTCCAGTGAGCTGGTATCTAGGTAGGAAAACAACCATTTCCTTTTAGATGAAATTGAAACTCAGGAGGTAGTAGTATTTGAGAGAGGCTCAAAGGGATCTGTGATGATAACAATAATAGTAATGGCTAACCTTAATAGATTAGGCACTGTGCTAAGCATGTTTTGTGGGTCTTATTTTAACAATATAACAACCATATGAGGCTGGTACTGTGAGAAGTAGAACAGTATTTGGAGTAAGGAACATAGACTCTGAGGTCAGACCTGCAGGGATACCTCAGCTTTGCCAGTAACTAGCCACGTGGCCTTG